AAGTCCCTTTCTGACAAGAGGCTCTGGGTGTGGTGGGACCCTCCTGGGATTTGAGTATAGATGTGAGTGTCTTGCTCTTGTGCAGACTTGGCCACCCTATTACCAGGCTGTCCATAGGTACCGTGGAGAGGGGGGTTGACATCTCTTCCCTCCCCAAGAGGGGGCTGTTGCTCCTTCTCTTCATGGGGTCACATTTGCCACCCTCTTTCTGGCTCCATGGGGGTGGGAGGGGTGAGCCGAGGTCTGAGGGAGTCTGTGCCCAGCCCTGGCCAATTGCTGGTGTCCAAGGATACTCAACCTGCAGTGCGAACAGGAAGACACCAAAAGCTAGGATATGCTGGATTGGAAATGCTGCAGTTCCCAGGGGAACGACAGCCAGGCAAACCCACAGATAGCCAGAGCAGTACCCCTGTGACGGTCTGTTCATGCGGGGAGCACATCGACACCAGTCTGAGCTCAGCCTGGCCAGGGTTGGGCACTGCCAGCTGTGGCACCAGCAAGGGGGGCTCCTGTTATCTCTCCCTTCCCTTGGAGCCCATCGAGGCACCACTAGCTGGAGAGCAGGGCATGGAGGATGGCAGCACCTCTCCCCGTGTGTGTGGGCAGCCTCAGCCACTCACAGAACCGAGCCATGTCCCTCAGGTTCCCCAAGGTGCTGCACTGAGGTGGCCATCCCAGGTGGGCAATCCCTGAGCTCCAGACACAAGTGAGTTCAGTGGGGAAAAAAAAGTGAGGGAAAGGAGGGCTTTCTCTGCCACAGAAGATGAAGCAGGCAGCCTGCCCCAGTGCCAGAAGATGAGCGCAGACTTGACTGAGGAAACAGGGATGCTGATTTTGGGTACCACCAAAGCAAGGCAAGAACAGATGTCACCTCTGCAGGACTCAGGTTGTGAAGCAAAGGATCTGCCCAAACAAACAGGTTCACTGTGCAAGCAGCTGCATGGGGAGCCAGTCTGGCACAGCCTGATTGTCCTGCCACAGTTGTCACCCTGCCACTCTGTCACCTGTCTGCCTGCCATTCTCCCACCTCTGCCACCTCTGCCACCTCTGTCCTTTGCAGCGCTGTTCTCCATGCATTCATCCTGTTTTGAGTGTCCCCAGGCACAGAGGCACATGGTGAATTTTTAGGGGGCTGCTTTGATAGCAGAAGCGACAGATCCCCTCAGCATGATCAGACCTGAAAACGGTATCTTCAGTAACCTGAAATAACCAGATAATTTACGAGATGCAGGGGCAGGGATTGCTGTGGGGCAACAGTAAGTTCCCCACAATTTAATGCCCATTTTGCACGATTTCAGCCTGTATATGGGGTGTCACCACCATGATAGGGCCACAGCAGGAAGGGACCAGGTGTACCTGTGAGGTGGGTAAGGTGTTGAGATCTTCTCTCTGGTGATCACTGACAGGACCTGAGGGAACAGCAAGAAGCTGCTTCAGGGGAGGTTTAAGTTGGATGTTAGGAAAGGGTTCTTTCCCCAAAGGGTGGTCAGACACTGAACAAGCTCCCCAGGGCAGTGGGCATGGACCCAAGGCTGCCAGAGCTCAAGGATCATTTGGACAACGCTCTCAGGGACATGGGGTATTGTTGGGGTGTCTGTGCAGGGCCAGGAGTTGGACTCAATGATCTTAGAGGTATTTTCCAACCTTAATGACTCTGTGATTGTGTTGTCCTTGTGGGTCCCTTCCACTTTCTGGGACATTCTACGGCTCTATCATTCTTTGTGGCATGGGACAGGAGCCCAGAGAAGGGGATGGATGTCCCAGGCAAAGGTGAAACCACATCAGGAGCCCTGACTCCCCACTGTGCTAGTGCTTTTGGCTCACCCCATAGCTGGATAAACAGAGAGCTTAATCCCAAATAAAGCTGGATGAGGATGTGTCACCAGTGTGCCTGAGGCACCTGAGGACTCTTGCCTGTATTTCTACATCCCCTGCAGCTGGTGTGGACACAGGTTCAGCTCAGTGGTGTGGGGAGACAGGGCTTTCCTCTTTCTGCTCCAAGGAGAGGCACAAGCAGAGACTACCAGGAAGAGAGAGGTCATGCTGGCACCCATCCCAGCTGGGCAGAAAAGCCTGTTCCCACTATGGAGCAGGGGAATTATTCCCTGGGGGCAAAGTGGCAGGTGAGTACAAAGAGGAGAAGGTGAGGAATTCATTACTCACACAGCAGTGGGGGACTGAAACTCCCCTGGACAAAAGAGAAAGGTTTTTCTAATCCACGTCTTCCAACAAAAGCCTCCAAGGTGGGGCCACCTGGGCAAGGGCTGCAGGGCTGAATAAGGGATAAAAGGAGACACTGGAGCAGGAGAAGGCACTTGCTGGTGTCTCTGAGAGGTGGGGTTTGCTGGTTGTGGGGCTCAAGTCTGCTCAAAAGCTTCATTAGACATGGACGAGCACATCTGGGAGCACTGGTGGGTGGCACATCTGGGAGCACTGGTGGGCGGCACTGCAGCTCCATATGTGGTTGGAAAATAACAGGAAGAACAGACTGAGCTTGTAGACACTGCAACGGGCTGGGGTCCAAAGGGACAGCGTTCTCTGCTCCCAGCTGTGAGCTTCTCAACCAACAGCAAATACAGGGGGGATGCATCCAGGAGCATTCAATAGCCTTGGGACTGGGATGAGTCACCAGTGTGGGCCAGCCATGAGCAGTGCACAAACAATCCCACAACACACTCCAGAGCTGCTACAACACAATGCTGATCTCAGCCCTGGCAGGAACCCCAGGGGGTCCTGACCTGCACCTGAGAGAGCACCAGAGGACAGAGGGGTCCAAGGTTCCTCTGCAGGGCAAGAACCAGCAGGGACAGAGAGGGGCTGGCAGGAGTACAGCTTGGTCCCTGTGGCAGCTGGAAGCACATTTGGGTCAGCACGAGGCTGCAAAGATGTCCCCAGCAGGAGCACCGCCCTGTCTGCATCCGCAGCACAGACCAGGGAACAAAGGCAGGGACTTGCTCCTTGGTCTCGGATTGGGCTGGAGCTGCTCCAGAGTCCCAGGCTGTGGTCCATGGGTGGAATCCTACAGCCCTGCTCTCAATCCCAACCTCAGTCCCACTCCCAACCTCAGCTTTGCCTGGGAGCAGCACTGAAGGCACAGAAAGATGGAAGAGTGGGAAGCTGCTCCCAGTCCCCAGGGCTCTGTTGCTCCTGATGGAGTTGGAACATGGACTGATCCACCCTGGGGACTCAGTTGAGACATCAGGTATATTTTTTGGAGAGTGCAGGACAGTGCAGGCCACTGCATGCCCAGAGGTGCCTCTTCCTTTTGGATCTTCAGGGAGGCCGAGTCCTGCACCAACCAAAGGACTTGGATGTCTGGCCTTCCCCAGCTGCTGGGGTTGACTCTCTCACCAGCATCATGTTGCTTTGCACAGAGGAGTCCCAAAATTGTATGGGGTACCAGGAAACCTCCCAGCTGCCTTTTCTGATGGTGGCTGCATCCCTCAGCCCAACAAAGATGTGTCAACCTGGAGCTAGAAAGATGCTTTTGCTCAGGGTGTACCCACCTGCATCTCCTTGATGGGGTCCAGACAGGGCTGAAAGGGAAGAAAACACCTGTCAGGAATTTCTGGGAATGCCCACACCGGTCCCAGCACTGAGTAAGCCCAATAGCACACACATGCGAGTCATTTTGGGGTGTTCTTGAATCTGTGGACAGTGAGGCTGAAAATCCAACCCGTGTTTCCACAGGTAGGGGAGAAAAATAAGGGGGTGCAACAACCCTCCTCAGTCAGATCCTCATTCCTGATTGAGTGCAGCTCCTGCTAAGTCTCTGTACCATTCAAGTGGGAGCCCAGTGATGCATTCCAGCCTCAGCTCCAAGCCCAGAGCTTGTCCTCCTAGAGGCATTGAAGGACTGGAAGGATCTCAGTGTATCCAAGGCTATAATCCCCCTCCTGGCAAAGATTGTTGCCTGGAAGGAAGATCAAACCCAAGTACAAGTCTCCATTCTCGACTCACTTTTTAAAGCCTTTTGTGTCTCCCGTTTCCCAGGGCAGTGTCTCTGTGATGCCAACTGGAGGGAGCTCCATGGGCAGGGATTCTGTTTTCCTGGCACTGAACCATCCAGGAAATAGACAGCTTCTCCAGAAAAGCCCCACTGGTTTCCCCTGGTTGTCTTGCCAGGAGCCCTCTCCTGCAGGGACAGAGGGCAGGGAGGTATTGGAGCACAGGACAGCCCCTTGGGCTGACACGTGTCCTGTGCTGCCAGCCCTGCTCCTGCAGCCATGGCAGGGTGCCTGGTGAGCTCTTTCCCCAAGCTGTGAGTCTGTGGATGCTGGCACAGGACATGGCACCTGCTGGCAGAGCATCTGTCCCCTACGCCGTGGCCCCAGGGCAGAGGTTTCCTTGGCACACCGAGACATGGGGTCATGGTAACATCCCGCTTGCTCCACGCAGCCACCACAGACTCACCTATCCCTAAATCTGTGGGACAGGCTGGGTGGACAGGAGTGAAGCACATGACATGAAGGAAGGGAGCACCACATGCAGACCCTCCTGGGCAGACTGTTGGCATGGGGCTGATCCCCATCATGAGTGTGAGGGAGGGGACAGTAGTGGGATGGAGACAGAGCTGCTGGGACAGACAGGAAAATTATCTTCTGCTAGGAATAAAGCAGGGAACTGTTTGTCACTTTTCTTAAACTGGCCAACACTACCCAGGGCCTCCAATTTCAAGTAAGAAACTATGGTTTGAACAATGTCAGCTCATCCTCATGGGCACCAGGCCACGGCCACAATGAGCAGCTGGTCCATGCAGAGGCTGAGCCCTTTCCTGGCTCCCAGTCCTTGGTGGAGGCAGAGCTCCTGAAGGAGGCACTGGGGAGGTCATGGGCTCTTGTTATTCCTGCTTCCAACTGTCACCGCTCCTGGTAGCTGAACCCCTTGTGTCCAGCAGAGTAATACCAGTGTGACAGCACAGGTAGGGCAGGTGATGGCACACAGGACAGATTCATTTCCCATCACTGTGGCAGGCAGGGCAGTGTGAGGTGCCCAGAGCAGCCTGAGATGCTCCTGGCTGGCTGCAGAATCTGCTTCAGGTCTGGCAGCAATCGACCTGCCACAGCACAAGGGCAGGAGAGTGGGTGCTGTGACCTTTTGCCAAGGATCCCTTCCTCTCTCAGCCCCAGGGTGGCCCCTGGCAGCATCTCTGCCTGTTCGTGCTGCCCAGACCCTGCAGGATCCCAACCCAAACCCACTGACATCTGGGCAACGGGCAGAAGATCTCTCCCAGGTGCTGACAGCTCCCACCTTGGGCAAACACCACTGGCAGCTTGCTTTCCTGAGACAGCATCTGCCTCCTGGCAGCCCTCCAGCATCTGGACTTGTCTCCTTATGGCAAATCTGAGGGTCTCCTGGGTGTCCAGAGAGCAGGGATGAGCTCTGTAAAGCCACAGTGAAATCACCTGTTATTGTTGAACTGAATCTTACCCTGGCCAGGAAGTTATTCAGATTTAATCAATTTATTAAATCCACCCTGGGGCCTTTTATATGAACCCTCCTCCTGAATTGCTGGTATACCCCAGGGTGCACCAGCTCTCTTTAGGTCTTTTTCTCAAATAAGTCAAAACTCAAATGGGAGTCAAATAATCCAAAATCCTGACACACACAAAAAAAAAAAAAAAAAAAAAAAAAAAAAAAAAAAAAAAAAAAAAAAAAAAAAAAAAAAAAAAAAAAAAAAAAAAAAAGAAGTTTATAACCTGTAGAGATTTTCACAGTTATGCTTTTCAGTTTTTGGACATATCTGCAGAACTAGACTTTTATTTGTCTTTCAAGGGAAATGAGCTTCTGAGCTCATTGTGGGATGGCAACAGCAACATGAGAAATGTGAGAAAATCATGTACTGTGAAGATCTAAAAAAGCCCTGGGAAGCCTCATTTATTTCCTCTTCCTCCACATGCTACAAACCAGTATGATTGGTGAGCATGAGCAGCTGGATGCTCCCGAGGATGTGCAGGGATCTCTCCAGCTGCAGAGGGACACCCTCAGACATATCCCAGAGCTGCAGGTACCCGTTCCTGCCCCGGAGGCTGAAGGAGGTTGCAGAGGTGATGGAGTCACCCGAGGGGAAAGGAGATGTGTCCTGGGATGATCTCTGAGGCCTTCAGGACTGCTAATGCTTCACTCAAAGCCAGGGCCCTGCCCTTTTAAGATACATTTGTGCTTTGTTCCTGCGACAAAAGGAAAAGAAAAACCCACAGCGTTCATTGGTGGGAAAATGCCAGTGACCTCCAGGTGCTCTCTGTGCCTGCAGCAATGGGCATGGGAAGCATGTTTGTCCGTGGGCATGGGAAAGATGCTTGTCCCACCTCAGGTTCGCTCCTGCTCTCAGGTTTCAACGAGTGACTTGGATGAAACTACTGAGTACAAATCTTCCAGTGTCAGCTGGATTTTAGGTTTTTGTGAGATGGAAGTGCAATCATGTGATGGGAGCTGCAGAGAGACACTGCCCATCTGCAAGGAAAAATTTTCTTTACTGGGGTGATTTCTTTCAGCTCAAAGTCCCCAGGCTGAAGTTAAACCCTCATTACGGAAACCTCTTGCGTGAGTGTGAAATCTGGCAGCGCCTGGGGGTGTGGGCGGCTCGCCGGAGTTGCTCTGCGGCAGCAGCCACTCCCCTCGTTTCTGAGAAGCAGACGCTGAGATCCAGATCCCGAAACACTCTGCACCAGCTGCTGGATGAGCTGCCCGGGACGGTGAGTTCCCAGAAGAGCTGATACCAGCCCAGGTGTGGCAAGCTGCTGTCAGGGCAGATGTGATCCTGCCTGGTGTGTGTCAGCCAGATGGGAGCTGGGCAGAGGCTGCTGTGGATGAGCATCCACATCCTGCTTCCAGTGCACTGCCCCCCTGCTCTGTGTGGTCCATGGTGGAGCAGATACCCACCTGCAGCCTGTGGAGGATCCTACACCTCTGCCTTCCCAGGGCAGGAGCCTGCTCAGCCTCTGAGGGCGATTTGAGATCCAAACTGCTGCTGGGAAACTGTCTGGCTGCCACTGCCTTCTGCCCCAGTCTTGTTGTGCAGGAAGGCTTTATATGCCCTGCTAAAGGACTCAACTTCCCTTTCCAACATCCCGCATGTCCCTCTCTTTGGAAGCAAGCCCCAGAATTGGAAATGTCAGTTCTCCCCTGGTAATATGAGTGCTCAATCCCAGCAGGATTTCTCCAACCCAGGGTCAAGCAGAGCTGCCGAGGAGGTGCCACACCCTGGCCAGTTCCACGCAGAGGCACAGAGTACCTGAGCCCTGTGCCAGGACCATCTCTCCTGTGGGGCAGGGAGAGGATGGATGGTGAATCCCGTGGCTCAGCAGCAGGTGTCTCTGCAAGGAGCCACATTTTCAAGTGTTTGGAATAACTGAGGTCTCCTGGGAGTCACTGGGCGGCTCACCAGGGGAACAGGTACTTGCTTAGACTCCAATAGTACATTTAAGCTTTCAGGTGAGATCTTTACATGTGTTTAGTTTAAAAAATAACCATGTCAGGGTCCAGCTGGAGCCTGTGCTGGCCACGCTTCTGGCTGGTACACGTTGCTCTGAGCAAATAAGCCTGGGAGCAGTCAGCAGTAACACAGCTGCTGTGTCCTCCCCGTGCTGTTGTGCCACCCAGTGTGTCCAGGGATGAGCAAAATGACAGCAAGCGTATGGGACACTTTCCCTGAGCCCTCTCCCTGTCTCCAGCTGTTCTCAAATAGGGGGATTTCCTGAGACAGCCATGATTTTCTGATTTCTCTGCATTTACAATCCCTCTTCTTTGGACTTGTCAAAACCCCTCCCTTGGGGCACAGAACAACCTCCAGCAGCACCATCCCTCATCAGGGAGCTGCTGCATCCCAGCACTAAGAACTGTCTGCTTCAGGGTGGGTTGGATCTATCTCCCACCTTCACTTCATGTGCTGGAAAAGCTGGTGGCTCCATCCCTCTCCAGTCTCTCCAGGGCTGTCCTGATTTTCCAGTCTCCCAGATGTATCTTCTCTGGCTTGAGAGTCCCATCCTCCTCAGACAGGAAGGGTCATACCCACCAGAGTTTCTCAGGGACTCTATGGCCACTGTGATGGCTGTTGGCAGGGCTCAGCTGGCCCTGCTTCCCCTTGTGCCCCTGCACTGCCCTGGTACATCCTGGGGGGCAGGATCAGCCCACTATGGTCCTTGCTGCCACACTGGTGGTTCCCACAGCCAGCTCCCACCCTGCCTCCCTCCTGGAGCAAACAGGACATCCACCACGGGGCAGAGGCATGCTGCTGTCCCACAGGCTGGCCCAGACCTCTGGGGTTTTCCCTCCATTAATGTACTTTCCATTGCTTTTAAAAATAAAATCCCAGTAATAAAAGTAATAAAAATTCCAGCTAATTTTATCCCCAGCCTGTTTTTCTCAGACTGCTGCAGGACAAGGTGCCTCCCCCAGCCTTGCCTGGTGGGTTCACTGTGCAACACCATCCAGGGTGCATGGGGGCTGGAGGGAAGGACACTGAGCCCCAGCAGTTGGTTGCCTATGGAGGGGGTCTTTCCTCTTTGCCTTGCTGGGGATTCAGGAATGAGTGGGGATAGCAGGGGGTTGGTGTGGAGCCCAGGGGCACAGTTTGGTGTGGTGTGACCATGCTCACAGGGTGAGCTGGAAAAGCCACAGGAAGCAGAGATGGGTCCCATGGCAGAACAGGTGGGGTGGCTTTGAGCTTCCACTGTCCCCAGGACGCAGTGCAGCTACAGTGGGAGCCATGCCCACCTCAGAGCCCACCGACACAGCTGCCCCAAAGGACACAAAGCAACCAGGGCATTCCTGCAGAGCTGCTCCCAGCCCTGCAACCCCAACACCCCCACCAAGTTTTGTAGTATTTAGCTTTCACAGTCCCTTTTGTTTTGTAATTCTGGGCTCCCACTGAATGTGGGCGCTCCAGGGGAAGCTGAGTGATGGTAATGAAGAAGGCTGAGGACCCTGGAGAAAAATAAACACCCTCTCCTGAAAGTATTACTTACAAAAACTGCTTTTGTGGGGTTTTTTTTCTTCTTTTTTCCCTCCTGATTTCTTGATTGTAGTAGGGCCAGGGAGATTTATGACTTTCTGGGAGCTGGCAGTGATGCAACAGCTTACTCATCCAAGGAGAATGTGAAAAATGGCTGGGCTGGGAAAACCCCCTTAGGATTTGGAACAGAGAAGTAAAATGGGAGCTGACATGCAGGTGTGTGGGAGGTGCAGAGTGTGGGACATTGCAGGGGGGAAGCTGCCCCTGCATACTCTACCAAGAACCACCCCCCCCCTGGATCAGTTGTGTGCCCCCAGCTGCCCGGGATGCAGGGATGCCAGGGATGCTACTGGAATGTCCCAGTGGGACAAGTCTGGCAGCCAGGTATGGAGCAGCAGCCACAGGCATGGACCAGCCACAGGGCCACCAGTGAGAAAGTGTTGGCATCGGTGCAGGAGCATCAGCACTGGGATGTCTCTCACAAGCCCAAATTATTCTCTTCCTAAGAAATGAATACTAAATATTTATGATGAAATTGTTAGATTATTTGGTCATTCCCAGCTGAGGTCTTTCCAAGCTGGCTGGAGCCCATCCCTCACAGGGCACAGGACACCAGACCCACACTCCAGCGTGGCTCCTGGCCTGGCACAGTGCAGTGATTGATCCACCCACGGGACCAGGTCTTCCCCACAAAGTGGTTCAGCCTGAGGACTAATAGAGGTCTTGGGAGATTTTAAGAGCTAATGGAGATTTTGGGACCATCCCAAAGAACTAGATGTTTTCTACCTGGCAGAGCTGCATGCTCAGCTCCTGGAGCCTGCAGCACCAGGACAGGGCCATTTCTCCATGTACTACTGAGAAACAGTTTTGCCATTTCAACTGGCCGTAAATATAGCAGAAGGGGAAAGAAAAGCTTTTAAAAAACCTGAACTTCAAACGGTACAAAATATTTAAAATATTTTCATTTGGGGCTAAACAAAACCCTGGGGTGGAGGAAGTGTCTTTTGGCTTTCTTGGCCTACTCAACAGGGCAAAAAAACCTTTTTCTTTCCCACTTTGA